CATTTCGTATTAAAAGATGAGAAAGAGGTGTGAGCGTGAAACCCCTGCTATAAAGAAATAGGGAAAAAATCCACCAAAGCAGATTAGAAAAGCAAACAGGTGAATTAGAGTCAGTCTGACTCTTAAGACTCTCTAATGCTGTGTTTAATTCTGGCACAGTGGGGAGTACCAGGGGCTCGGGCTGTGCTCCTCGATGTTCCTCATCTCTGCTGGGGTTTGCCCTGTTCTGTACTCTGCAGGGAAGGGGGAGGTGGTGAATTGGGGGTTGGGGATGCAGGGCAGCTGAGGAAGAGTTATTGTGGCTCCAGAATTACGTATTTTGTGCCAACTCAGAATTGCTGTTAAAATACAGGGGAGAGGGATTCTTCTGCCCCATCATTTTAATAGACATTTCTGTAGCTGATTTTTTCAACTAAGACTAATAATAAGCAAAACTACAGTTGAGCCAAAAATGACAAATGTTACTGATTTAAAATAATACTTGCATATTTTTCAATATTAAATGGAACGAGATAAATCGGAAGCATGTAAATATCTGATTCTCAATCTTTGCATAATTATTTCCAAGAGGTAATTTTGCTATGAGCTGTTAAAACTCAAAGAAATGTATTATTCCCTTTGAGATGATCTGTTCCCCAGCTGTGTCATACGTCTCTTGGCTTGTTTCCTTATTGCTGTAGATGTACATACTTATATATATATATGTGTATTGTGTGACTGTACCATTACTGCCATGTTAAATCACTTGCTTTAAAATACATATACACATGTATATGTAAAATATATGTATTTAACACACATATCCACACATATATATGTAAAATAAACATAGATGTGTGTTTTAACCCAAGCAGTTCACCGTGGCAGTAGTGGTACAGTCACACAGTTTCAGGCTTTGTACAATATGTAATTTTAAGGATGTCAATGTGGTTCTTAGCGAATTTTATAAACACTTTTCTGACTCTGTTATCAGCACTTCCCATCCTAAGAGAAACTGCACATTCTTCAGTGATTGTTCCACTGGTTCCATTTTTTTGTCTGCCATTTGTTCTGGATTGATGTAATCTTGATACTACTAAACTTTCAAGGGCTGTTGACGCATTTCACATAGCCTAGGATTGCCTGTTCTCCAAATGTATGGATCATGCATCAACAGTACTAAGTAGCCTTACTGTTTTGCCTAAAAGCCTAGCTAATTTATTTACTATTCTCTCTTTAAAGAGAGGCCTCTGGAAGGGGTAGCATATTTTGGGATGCTCCTTCTCTTTAAAGGGAAACTCAGAATTTGAATAGCAGTACTTGTTGATCAGTGATATTATTGTAGCCAAAGGATGCATGGGTGGTTTAATAGGAAGTTTTTTGCTTCAAGTTTCTTGATGAAATGTAGTGTTCTCCAGAGCTGTGTGAAGAGTGTAGTTTTTTATTCTGAAATGCACTTGTACACTTTATTTGAACGGTCTGAATGGATCATAAATACATTTAAGAAATAAATGATACGTCACATGTTTTCACGTCTTGTCTCGGATGACTTCTATGTAGTTGAGCTGATAAACGTGGGTTCCTAGGGGAGTGGGTGGGGTTTTCTCCTCTTATCTTGATTGCTCTAAATAGTGTGGCTTGAACGTAATAGCCAAGAGCAGGAGAACCTTCCAGCATGCGTTCTGTGTTTATGCTTTATCCATACATGATGGAGGGCACTGTAGGCAAACTCCTCTCTATAATTTTCCTGTGGGAAACTTGAGCCCTAAAAGGAAACGAACACAGCGAAAGGGCTGGATATCACAAGGGATTCACTTTTATTTTTAGAATTGCACTATATTGCCATATTTGGGCTGAAAGTATGCTGTATCAATGCACTATTGTATCAAATTGCAGCTAACCATTCCAAATTGGTCTACATTATTCAGGTTTTTTCCACAAATACTATTTATTTGTGCATGGTAAGTGCTAAATCCAGGTAATACATTCTGTGGGCATTATTTGTTGTGAGAAGGTTACACGTATCTTGCCTTGAGAGTGGGATTTGTGCTGTTTCCTTAAGGACTCTCTAACAGGTGTAATTCTTCTTACCAGCACCTTCTCACAGTGGTTTAGTTGAAGACAAATGCAGGAAATGCACTCTGTGTGAAAGTCAGTCTAAATATGAAGTCATCTTGGGAATGCCACCACCCTGCAGCATAGAGCTGGTGACACAGTATCCTGCTAACACTGAGAATAGCTGTCAAAAGACCTTTTTAATGTTTTCAGACCTGTTTATAATGTACAGATCTGCTCGAAATAACTTATTGTTGCAATATTACCCTTGTTCCTGCCCATGAATGTTTCAGAGAGTTTGGGCTTTTTCTGCTTATTGCAACTGCTGAAGCTGTCAGCTGGCTCGGTGCCCTCTTGACTGGCTTCTCTGCACCTTGCAGCACCATGCCACGTGCTGCTCTGACCTTCCTAAAACATAGCTGCAGTGTGAAAATCAGTCCCATTGTGACAAGAGTGGGAATCCGACAGTTTGGGTTTTGTGGTGGATGTGTTGGGAAACTCACCCCCGTGAGCACATTTCCATATTTTGAATCATTTGAATCATTCTGGGGGTGGGGGTAGGGGGAAATCTGAAGTTTGGACCTCCATTTTCCCGTGTTTATGTTGATTTTGAAGTCAACCTGTGTCTAGCTGAAGGCTTTTATATTTTATGCCCCCATTGGATTTCCCCAGTAACCTGGTGTAACAGGAGTTGGGCTTTGGGTGTCAAACCATTTCAAGCAGGCAACTTCCTCTGCTTCTCTGGACATCTCTTATCTCTGTGGTTTTTTCATCACAGATCTTGTCCCTTCAGCAATTTGTTGCTGCTGCTTCTTCATCCTCTTGGGTTTATGTAGGGGATTAGAAGGAATAAACCTGAGCTGCCGTGAACTACAAGCAGATCAGCCTCATGAAGAGGAGCTCCAGCTCTTCCATGTCTTCTAATTGTGGCTTAAGCTACAGAAAAAAGGCTTCTAGAGTAACAATTCTCGGTCTGATCATGTTGATCAAGTTTCTAACTGCGTGGTATGGCTTGAAGATCCTGGGAAGATCATGAAAACACAAGGAAAATGTCTTCTTACTGTGTCCAGTTTAGGAGGTGGGAACCGGTATGCTTTTATATGCAGGCTGGTACAACAGATGAGCTTTATCTGCTGCACTGCATCCTGGTTTCCATAATTACACACGTAGCTTCTTTCTCAATCAATTGGAAAGGAAGGTTTCCAGTATAACTCCCCTAGTATTTTAAAGTGCATTAAAGAGGGGGAGGAAGGGTATGTTCTTAGTCTGAGCATCCACATTTTCCTGCTTTCCTTTGGAGCAGCAAACTGTTGAGAGAATTCTAATCTTTGCTACACTCGCCTCAGTTCTCATGGCTGTTTTCCATGCTGTTTTCTTTATTACTTTCTTTTTCTTCCTGTCATTCTTAGCTTTCTATTTTTCTATCCCAGTTTGTGAAGGGTGTGGGTTCAGAAGGGTTTCCTTCAGTTCCCAGTCCCCTGAAAGCATGAGAAATTGCCCATTGAGCCAATTCTCACAGCAAGGTATAAAAATAGGAGTAAAGAAAAGGTTACACAATGCCTGGATTGCAGCAGTTTGTACTAATGGGGAGATTTCAAAGCCAGGGGTTGAAAAACATTTTTTAAACCTTATCATTTCCGTTGATTTTTCTCTCCCCAAGCTGTGCTTCAGCTGCAGGAACCAGTGCTCCAGATTACTTGAGGAATTGTACTGAAACACGGGAGTCAAGTGCTGAACAAGTCACGCAAAGCCAGAGAGAGGCCACTAATTAGTTCTCTTTAGTCATAATGGGTGATTTGTTTGAGAAGCCTCTCCTAAGAGTTTCCAACCAGATGCTTTGGTCTCTGCTATTAACTAAGTGGATTAAAGGACAAGTGGATTTAAGCTTATTTTGCCATTGCAGCAGAACACAGGTAACACTCAGAGATAAACCCACTTGTTTGGTACCACATATTGGCATTAGCAGTGAACAGTAACCCTGCTCCTGCAAAGCTGAGTGCTTTAATTCAGCTTTGCAAACTTTAAGGAAACTAAAAGTTATCCCTGAGACTGTATTCACACGCTGTAAAGTTCTCAGAATTGTTTCTGAGTGTTGTCTTTCTCTACTTGCAAAACCAGCTGAAGCCAACAGCCAGACATTCTTGTACTTGTCTTTGCTGACTTGAAAGGCTTACATTTAGATGAAATTTATTTAGCATTGGATTTTGTTTCTGTTTTCATTATAATGAGATGGACCTCTTCGGCATGTTAATTATTATCAAACTGAAATGCTAACAGTACTTTTGATGTAATTTCCAAAACAGTCCTGTAACTTGATTCTAGCAGCAGTGTAATGCTTTCCTAATGAAATGTCTGTATTAAGCCACAGAGAGGAGCATTAACCTTGGATTAAAATCAGAAGAGAAAATGAAGTACACTGTGGTAATTCTGTTCTTCTTGTTTGCAGTATCGTTTTATGAAGAAAAAGAGCAACTAAAAGCTGCATTTAATTATCTTCACACTGATTATATCATGTACTTCTGTACTATCTGTTTTACTTCTAACCTTTTTTCTATTTGTCTAACAAACACAGGCTATTTGGATATAGCAAACCTCTTTTAAAAATAAAATAGCTCTTCTGTTGGGCTTCTACAGAGCATCTTGTATATTTGCAGTGTTAACCTGGACACTGCTACGTGGTGATCTCACATGTGAAGAAGATTGGCTTTTTTGTGTGTCTAGTCACTGCTAAGGAAGCCACCTCACATGGGAATCTCTGACCCTTCCACTAGCGTTGGTGCTTGATCACTATTGTGTCATCTTCTCAAATGATTCCCACTGCCAAGGAGCTCTTGTTCTCATTAGCTATCCAGGAAAGTCGTCTTTGAAATAGTGGGAAGAGGAACCAATCATAGGCAAATATAAATGCCTACAGAAAAACAGAGGGGTTTTGTTTCAGTTTTATTTTGGCAATTTGGATTATGGCTATGGTTATGGTAATCAGTTAGAAAATAGCTGGGTCATGACTGCCTCAAAAGGTACAAAACATGGTGAAACACATCCATGCAAAATCTGAAGTCTGATTAACCAGGCATCACAAAATATGGCATGAAATTGTAGAAGCAGTTCTGAAATTGCAGAGGTCAGTTCCAATTCTTTTCACTTGACATGCTGAGCACTATTTCAGATTCAAGAGACCTACTGAGATTGCCTGTCACATGCTGGGTGAATTAAGCGTTTTAAAGCCAGCTTGAAGGAGTGGTTTCTGTTGTACCCTAATCATAGAATAACTTGGGTTGGAAGGGACTTCTGGAGATCATCTAGTCCAACCTGCTCAAAGCAGGTCTTACCAGATCAGGTCGCTCGCAGCCCTCTTGAGTTGAGTCTTGGACACCTCTGGTGATGGAGATTTACAGCCTATTTCAGCAACCCATTTCCATCCTCATGAAGAAGCTGCTTAATTTTCCAATTTGCGTAAATGTTCCTTGTAAAGTAAAAGGTTTGGGAACTGCGTCAGATCTTTTGACAGCTATTTTCTCTGTGCCCACTTAGTAGGTTTTTCACTTGTGTCACTGTTAGGTGTGAGCTTTAAAAATACATACTACGTACTATTGGGTTTTGTACCAAAGGAGGCCGTGTGATGGATATGAGCTGTTTTCGTTGGCTTCTGAAATAAGCAAACTGCTTCATTTTGCTCCTGAGGTGGGAGAGTTTTCTGTTTTCAGTGGATATCTTCCCTTGCAGTGCTGTGAGCTCTGACTTCAATGACTAAGCTCGAAATAGTTTCAATCTGAACTGAATGAGATGGATCAGAACATCTCGCTCGGTCGTTTGTCCAGTATTGACAGAGACTGAAGAAGACCTTGCTGTGGGAATGGCATCTACTGATTTTCCCATTTGGAGTGTGACTCTGTTGTAGAGGGCAAATTGGGTTTAAACTGGACATTATTCACAAGTGCTTATGTGCTGTGTCTGACACAAACCTCTTCCTTCTATGTTCTGGAAACATTTTTTCTGGCTACTTCTCCAAGGTAGGACTAGGATTCCTTGTAAGCCACCATCCTCAGTGGACTGTTTGAAGCCAGTATTGCAAGTAATTTCATGGAGATGGCTTGGTGTTTAAGTCACACAGTTAAAACTGTATTTAATTGTTCCACTTTGTCAAATTCCTTTCATCTCTACCAGGAGCTCTCACTGGCTTTTATGTAGGACTCGCCCTTGATGCATTTTCTTGGTGTTTCTTCCAATTGGCCTTTCAGTCCATTGTTCACATTTACTGGTTTTCTTAATTGTATGCAGCTTGTTACTGTTCAGCTCTCCAAACGTCAAAGGCATCTGAAACTGATTGCATTAGAGCCATGTAGGGAACAAAGTGCCACCTTCCTCATGCTGAAATGCTCGGCTTCTACAGGCGACTGTCGCTGCATTATATAATGTTTTCTGTCCAATATTGTCTTTCTTGGGCTCATACGCTCAGTTTTCTACTGTTCTTTTGTCTGATTCTGTGGAGGGGATGTAGAGCGGTTTCTCCAGCTGAACCTAAGGGACAGAATTCAGACAGCAACATGGAGCTGCTTGCAATTGATTGTTCCTCTCCACAGCTGGGAGATAAAAGAAATGCGATCAGGCAGTGTTTGCATTCAGAAGTCTCCGGGGAAAGGCTGCTATCTGCATTGCAATGTCCTGCAACACTTGTGTGTGTGCTTTTTCTGCCACTCACTGACCGTTCCCAGATGTGCTTTAGTAACCAAATCTATCAAGATTGTGATCTGGAGCTGCCAGCCTGCAGGCAGCCTGTTCTGGTTGAGTAGACTGGCTTTTGTTAAATTTAGAACAGTGCACAGAGCACAGTGCCAGTCTCTGAACTCTCAGGCCCAGCATTTTGCAATTTATATTCCTTTGATGTGTTTTAATTTACTTCTTTATTTTTTCCTAATAGGAGTCTCCACAGGACAGTGCTATCACCAGAGACATCAATCGAACGTTCCCTGCTCATGATTATTTTAAAGACACTGGGGGAGATGGCCAGGACTCCCTGTACAAAATATGCAAGGTATTCTTTTAATTCTTCTTGACTGTTTTTGGTGACTTGTGTTTAACATCATTGACAGATGTAACTGTTACCTGAGAAGAATGTGTATGTATTACCACTAACTGTGCCACAGAGAGAGACTCTGGCACTAGAGTCACTGATTCTTCATTGTAGATGCTGAGCTAGTTATAGTGCCATTCAGATAGAGCTAAAGTAATAAGCCCTTCTGGATTCCTGAGCACTAAGGTGTTTGTACTTCAAGGGATTCCAGACATGTCAGCCCGAATTATTGGGCAAATTATATGCTGTGATGGAGATGAGGGCTAATTCCATCCTGAGCAAGAGCAGCTCACTTTTGGCTGCAGCATGCTCCCTAGTTGTCAGTATTGTCTCAGCTGTGCTGGTGAAATTAGGAACACACACAGGAAATGGCGCTGATGTTGCCTCTTGAAACAGAAATGTTGTGATGTTGGGTATGTCCTTTACATGTAAGGTATGCCATAAGCTGCTGTTGTCATATATAGTTCCTTTAAAACTGGAGATAACTGTGCACCTCCAATCAATGTTATAAAGCCATGGGCATGCACTGAAGTTGCTTATTAAAAGGAAGAAATTAGCAAAACTGGACATCTTATTGTTGTATTCAGTTATCTGAACTGGAATGTTTTAAGCTTCCAGCACTTTCTTCTGTGTCCCTAGTGTTTCTCCCTCTTGCTAATGTCCCTGTAGCACCCGTTCAGAGGTAAAAGCACTCAGATAGATGGTTTAATATGCTGCAGCCTTCTTGGTGCATCACTGTAACCAGCTACTGCCCCTATATTGTGGCAGTATAAGTATCATATTCTATGATTCTATGGTATATCACAGTTTGGTTTTCATACAGGTTTTCTCTTCATTAGAGTGGCAACTGATGCACCCTGTGAAAATGTTCAGTGCAGTGGTTTGTTTTCTTTGTGCTTGTAGCTCAATACAGACACACTGTAAAGTCTTGATTCTTTTTTTAGGCCTACTCTGTCTATGATGAAGAGATTGGCTACTGTCAAGGCCAATCATTTCTTGCTGCTGTGCTGCTTCTACATGTAAGTGGTGGGGATTTTCCCCATGTTTGTTTTAAGCTTAAGAATAAATATTGCTCTTCTTGCCTAGAACAAACATTGGTAACTCCTGAACTACCAGGGTTGCAGGTCACGTATCCATTTATATGTTGGTCAATAATAATGTAGTTTTAGACAGAGAAGAGTACATTGTTTAAAACATACTGTGGTATTCCCAATGACTCCTGTCTACAGTCAGCATTCATGTCACTGTGTTCCTGTTTTAGGACCCCTTTCATATGAAACTGTGTAGGCTTGTGCTCATGGTCACTAGAAGGCATGGAATTTGTGTATAAGGACAACACTGTAAATGTTGCTGTTAAAGGGTTTCAAGGTCAGATTTAAGCTTTTTAGCAGACATTTCTATTGGAATCAGTCAGAATGGTGATTCCAAAAGAATGGATGGTGATAATTGCCATGTCTTGTACACAGAGAGTATATTCATGACATTGATGGGAAGTCAGTTTACCAGGTCTCAGAGCTTTGAACAACGTCCTGTGTATGTGGGCTGTTGTCTTGTACGCTTTTGTGGCTCTTGGCTTACGGGGTTAGTGAAGGATCCAATAATAGTCTAATTTTTAAAATGATGCCAATTTCTGCTTTTTTGAAACTAATTATTGTTGGTAGAAGTGATCTCATCGGAGTAATATCCTTTAATTGCTGTGTGTTGGAAGCTAGAGATTTATGGTTACTCTGTATCAGAAGCAAAACTTTTAGATTTACTCACACTTGGGAAACGGGAGAGGATTAGAAGTTTGTACAAATTATTTATAGACCATTCTTTGTCAGAGTAACATCTGCTGTTCGTCAGTGTTTCTATTCAGACATGGGTAGTTGAAACCAAGCAGAGTTCCTAAGCCCAGTAATGTTGTGAGGTTTCTTTTTCCCAGCTGCTTTTTGATGGTTGTTGCTACTGTAGAAAACTAGGTCTGAAGACTTCTCTGCAGTTTTGAGTGGAAGAGGAAGTCTGGTCTTCAGTGGAGGATGTTCCATAACGCTGTGAAGTCAGTGGAGGATATAGAAGAGATTGTAAACTCCATTCTTCCGAAACAAAAGCCAGATCATTAATGATGACAACCTTTTAGTTCTTTGTAGCTGTAATCTGAAAGACTTACTTGATGAGCGGTTAATTCTTTATTACTACACTGAATCAGATCAGAAAGGGTGATACTTTCTCATAGGAGAACTGGACACTTTTACTGACACACACGTGCTTTCTTTTAGCTTTTTCATTGTCATATGTCCATTTTTTTAATATCCATTGCATGTTTATTCTAGAGTTGTTCCTTTAACAATAGCTGTTGCTTCTGTGAATAATGTATGCATTTAAAAAGGCTAAATTTCAAATAAGGTTCTTTTTACTTGATTCTCTTTGAAGTCAGCCCTTGGACTGTGGCTGCTAGGGAAGATAAATATTAAAAAGAAGTGTGGCAGAAAAGGAAATGAAGTTTCTGCAGGTCCTTCACTACCAGTCTGGGGAACGTCTCAGCAAAGTTTTCAGTTTTAACAAACTCCATCTGCTGATTAATAATAGAATACTTGAGATGGATATTCTGTTCTTTACAGGAACAAGTGATTGACCTGAAAACTGAATTTTGATGTCAGGGGAAAATGTCTAAACACTGATGAGCTTTGATGAGTGTTACTTCAGTTTTTGGCAGGAAATGGATACTGAATTTGCCCAAACCAATGCTGAGTTGTGATGTGTGGAACTTCTGTTAGCAATTACTGGTCTCTCTTATTCATGCCATCTAATAAATAAACATCAAATGTAATAATGTAATTTTAAAAGGTAAATAGTGAGAATAAAGAAAAGATCCTGTTTAACATCCTCTAGTAATACTGCTCTTGTCTTTGGTGCATAGGTAACAAAGGGTTAGGCTGTTCAAAATCTGTAAGATTCTGATTGTGCCATGATTTGGAACACAGGAAACTGCTTTGGTCTTGATTTCTGAAAGATGACTTTTTAGTTGAGTGATTGAGAGGTGGTTTATTCCACAGAATAAGGATGAAGTGCCATTTACAACACTGGGCCTCGTTTTGTGTGTTAATATTTTGTTTATTTTTAAACTGGATAGGGCCAGATTAGAGTAGCGACAACTTAGCTTCTCTGTGAGAGGGAGGAGAAGGGAGGGAAGGGCAAATGGAACCAATATGAAAGATTGAAGTGTTGTGTGATAACTACACTTTCCTCTCTTGCAGATGCCTGAGGAGCAAGCTTTCAGTGTTCTGGTCAAAATCATGTTTGATTATGGACTCAGGGAACTTTTCAAACAAAACTTTGAAGATTTGCACTGCAAGTTCTATCAGCTGGAGCGCCTCATGCAGGTAGGTGTTCAAACGTGCATGAAGCATTTGTGACCTCTTAGTAAGGGTAAAGAGTGAGGACTATCCATATAGGAGGTATTTTAAGACTAGAGAATGTTGACTTGAGACAACTGTGGTGGTTGGACTCATTGTGAATGTGACCTACTGTGCTTCTGAGTATCCACACTGGGACAAGATTTTGCCATCCTTACAAGGGCATGGGTGGATCCAGAAACCTGCCTTGTTGCCCTGATTGTCACACTACCCTGCTGATTTCTGTTACTTTGGGATTTCAGCTACAGTTCCAAAATAGTAGCAATTAACCTTCAATATTTCTGTGTGTTTTTTATTATTAGGAATACATTCCTGATCTGTATAACCACTTTCTGGACATTAGCCTTGAAGCACACATGTATGCTTCCCAGTGGTTCCTTACCCTCTTCACTGCAAAATTCCCTCTCTACATGGTCTTCCATATTATTGACTTACTCTTATGTGAGGTATGTGTTATAATTGGGGACTTGTGCTGCTATTAACTTTGACAGTTTCTCACTATCTTGATTCATGTCCTTGTTACTATCTGTTCTTTCAGAGCTAGGCATGTGATAATTATTTTTATGCAGAAGTGTTATGTTTCTGCAATGAAAAAGAGTTCTTGGCATTTTAAACATACAAATTAGGAGTCAATGTCTATGCAAAAGATTATAATCTCCTATTTCTTATAACACTGTTGAATCTCTGTGAGATTCTGTAGAATGCTCATGGGATGAGAGTTAATTTACAAATAGTGGATTCCTCTGTTGTTAATTGTATTACACACAATGATAACTTCTTTTTGTTTTTTTACAATAATTGCATGGAAGCCTTTGTGTATGAAATTGCCCAGCTAACTCTCATGCTGGTAATTTAACAAGCTTGGAGCTCTTTCCCCTGAAGACTTGAAGTCTCTTTATATTTAACAGCATCTATTCAGAGAGCAAAATTCTTTACACCGAGATTTTGTGTGTAATCATGTTTGGAACAGTATATTTGGTACTATGCTGGTAAGTGATTTGAATGAGAGCTTATTAAAATAAGTGAACAAATCACATTTTGTACTGAAGCATCCTTGAGTTACTGAATGATTTGCTTTTTTACTCGCTGGTTACCATTATGCATCCATTCTTCACTGGGTCCGCAGTTGTTCCTGTGGACATGCAGTTTGTCTGCATTTCCTGTACTGAAGGGTTTCAGCATTCATAAACCTCCTGGTCAATGGTTTTACCCTTTCTGTGCATCTATCCGGTGCCTTTTTTGTCCATATGCCAATGTAACAGAAAGCAACAGATGGTATCAAGAAAATCAGTTCTGTTTGTTTAGAAACACATTTTCAATTCATAAATAGTAAATGTGTTCATAGTGAAGTGTTAAGGATTTTCTTTTTATCATTGTGAAGTAATGGTGAAAGAATAATTAAGTGGAAAAAGAAAGAGAGAATCATGAAATAAGATGAGCAACGTGCCTTGATTATCAAAGGTACCCCTTAGGAAGGTATGTGTTACTGCTGACTATAGGAACTGTTTGTGTTTAATTGAACATTTCAAATAAAACACTTCTAATAAGTAGTGACAAAATACACAATAATGCCTTCATCATTTCAGAGTTTCAGGCTACTAAGGAGATAGTAAAACCTGTAATGAAACATTGTTTTTCTACTCATATTTAGGTAAAGATACTATCCTAATTGTTTGCAAAGTCATTCTCTGGGCCTTTGATTTAATATAGCTCTTTGTTACACTTGCATCCTGGTTCTCCTTTTCACAGAAACTGGACAAACAGCAAACCCCACCAAATAAATTAATATCCGGGCTTACAAATACTGAGAAATTAATTTGTTTTGTCATTATTTTTCTCTCCAGGGAATAAGTGTTATCTTTAACGTCGCACTGGGATTATTAAAAGTGAGTATACGATGTTATAGTGCGTGTTTTGAATTGTCATGCATGATATAAGAAATTAGGATGCCTGTTACAAAAATACTGTGGTTTTATTTGTAAAGCTAACAACTTCCTGTATGCCATGTGCTGGAGTCTGGCATGCCCTGGACAGCACAGTGCTTTTGGGCTGGGGTTGCAGAAGCAGAAACCACCACTGTTTGCAGAAGGTTGAACAGCAGTTACGTTCCTGAAGCTTTACAAAGCTGTTGTTGCATTATTGTCTCTGGGAATTCAGTAATTGTACAAAACATGCTCTGCAGTGACTGGTTTTTCTCTCCTTGTCTCCAGACTACCAAGGATGATTTGTTACTGACTGACTTTGAAGGGGCTTTAAAATTCTTCCGTGTACAGCTGCCCAAGAGATACCGTTCAGAAGAAAATGCAAAAAAGCTGATGGAGTTAGCGTGTAATATGAAGGTAAAGATGTGGTGATGGCAGCTCCAGGTCTTTGAGGGGTACCATTTCTGTCTCCATTTGTAACTTTGCAACTTGCTTGTGCAAATGCAAATACATTGCAGATGCTTTAGTGAAACACAGTAAAGCCCCAAGATTGTCAGAGTGATATGAGCCCACCTAGAGAACCTGAAACCAGAGTAGCTCTCAGAAAGCAATAGTCAGTGCTACTAAAATCAGACTACTTTAAAAAATCAACCTTAAATGACTAATGACACTAATATAAAACAATTGCAGACAACTCTGCAGATCTTTAAAGAAATCTTCCTCCAGTAGTAGTTGTAAACAGTGTAGTATCTTTCACCAAGAGGTAGTGGGAAGGTTTCATTTAAAACAGAGTCAATAATAGAGAAACAGACAGTAATCTTTCAGGCAGGAAATGGCTGTTTTTAATTGTGGGTGCATGTGATGTTTATGTACTGCAATAGGGAGCTCTTTAAAAACACATTGATGGATGTACAGATCATCTGGGGACATGAAGGAATACAATATGGCATGTAAAATTTCACACAAGTCAAGCTTGGGAAATGAGCTTGAGGTTTCTGTATTCCCTGTGTGAGTTTTGATTTGTCACTGGTTTATGCTGGGGGATGGATGCTGGTTTTCTAAACAGCATTTTAAGTTAATTTCCCATTCAAGCCTATTTCTCTTGTACTGTAGGTAGCTGAAAATAACAGGTTAATCTGTTATGATCTCTCTAGTCTAAAAAGGGTCTTGAAATTAAACAAAGTGCTGGCTGAGTCGTATGTTGTCTAGAGCTGCCACAGTTAGCTGAAGCTTTTAATAATGCAAAAAAGCATTGTTTTTCATGAGCAGCCCATGGGAGAGGTTTACAGTATTTGCTTCCTTCTTGCCTTTTCATTTGAGTACTGGGCACAAGTGTTAAGTCCTGGTTGGAAGCAGAGCTCTGAGGTACTGTACGGTGGTTGATGTGCAGGTATTTCTGAACATGAACCTTTGTAAGAACCTTCTGCTCTCTGCGAGAGAGCTTTGAGGCTCACAAGCTCATCTAGACTGTCTTTTAGTGGGATTGTCACAGCTCTTTGACTTCTCTCACAAATCACTGATTAACTGTTCATACAGTCAATGTTAAGGAAATACTGCTGATAATTAAACCATGATTTCTATAGCAGAAACCATGCATCACAGTAAAATGTGCTCTTTAGTCCTTATAGAAGCCTTCTTTTGAACAGAGTAGAAACATAGAAACTAGAATTTGGGGTGTGCTAGAGAGATGCTGACTCGTAAGTGAATTAATCTCAGTAATTCCCATTTTCTTACAGAGCTCTGAATAAATTCTGTTGAGCTCTCCTGTGTTTTAGAACTACTGAGGTAACCTGTGGAGGGCTTTTTGCTTGATGGTGGGTTTTTTAGGTTTCAGTTGCCCACTAAGTTCTATTTCTTAAATATAGTTATGTAATAAAATTTTCATCCTCTGACATTAAGACTCCAGTTATATATAGCAAATACTGCATTACCTCACAACTGCAAGTCAATTGCTTTTCTAATTAGTAGATACGGTAACTAAAGCTTTATGTGGGCACTTTGGAATAAGCCCTTAAAGTCACATTTCCAAGAAAAGTTACAGTGAGGAGGTTATTGATTCCTCTTTATGGATGTAACTGTTTGAGTTCTAAAATGGAACACTGATAATTTATTTAGTGTATTTTAAGGAAGCTGTGATCTTTCTTTATAGTTTCATGTAGACAAGTTTTTAGTCAAACACACTGGTATGGTTCATAGTATCCTTTTCCCTTAAGATTCACTAGAGGAATTCTTTGCAGCATCAGTACGTAAGTACAGAACTTCCCTAGTATGCTTCAAAGCATCTGGTACTCCTGGTGTAGTACCAGCGCACATAACAGTGTTCTGTGTAGAGTTCAAGTATATCTTATATGAAACTAGTGTGGAAATTATGGAATTATCAAGAATAAAGCTGGTTTAGCTCTCCAGTCATTTACCATTAGCCACAGATCAGATGTTTCATGTGCATCTGGCTAAGATCATGTGTAATGGGTGCGTTTGCCTTTCACGTTTCCAAATAGCATCTTGTTCCTCTTACCACTCTGCCAAAATTCCCTGTGTTCCCAGTGCTGTGTTGAAGCAGTTAAAGCAAACAGCCTTCTCTGAGCAGTACACAGCAAGGCTGTCCACTGCTTCCTTGAGTACTGTGTGTTTTGGGGGGATTAAAGGGGAGGTTATGGGGAAGATCCAGACTGCGCTACTGGCCTCTGCACAGATGCTGGGCTCTTCTGTGTCACCTCCATTTGTGTTGCCCCCAGTGTGAGTGCTGCATGTAATTGCTTTCTTTGACCTAAAATACAAGTCCTTTGCTGTCAGTAGAAATCTCCTGCTCTGTATCTGGAAGTGTTTTTGAGCAGAAAAGGGCCTGATGTCAAAATAAATCTTTTATAGGAAGGGAGAACTAGGCTGGCTGAGGCATTGTGATTACAACAGCATTCTGCTGGAGAGGCGGTCAGTAAATGATCAGCTTGAGACAACACTAGATTCTTAAAGTCACTCCTGAATGTTGCTGTCAAATGTTAACAAACTTGCTGCTGCTTTCTGGGCTCTGAAAAGCCGTGGTGGGACTTGAGTGTTCACTTATGCTCTCTGACACCATGCAAACCCAAAGGCCTTGATGAATTCCCCAGGACATGGTTCCCTCTAGGGCTCCAGTGTCCAGAACGAGTGACAATAGCAAATCTTTTCTGGATCACCTCGTTATTGGTATCTGAAGGCAAAACTGGTTTAATGCACTTGGGAAAGTATAAGATGAAAATACAAAGGTGTGCCTGCCTTCCTTTCCTCTCAGGTGGCTGGATGCCTCACTTCTCAAGATCTAATCTTTACATAGCTTGAGATTTGGTGTATGGAACCCAATAATTTGGGCAGTGTTTGAGTAGGGGCAGAGCAGTGAAACAACCTACTCGAGTTACTGGCTTCATTGTCAGTAAATAATACTCCGGGTGTTTGTCTGGAGTGCTCAGTAAGAATAACTTCTGCAGTTGTGATGTGGCTGGACTGACTCCAGATAAACGGGCTGACATCTTCCAAAACATGTCAGCTGAGGGAGAGTGAAATGTTCCTGTGCAGCTCTCACTAGAGGGAGCCTGGCTACCAGTTTTGTACTGTTCATTCAAAGTAAGGTTGTTAATGATAAAACCAAAGATAAGAGAAACTAAACATGTTTTCCATTTTTCCTGTCTTTTATGCATGTAGAATTTAACGTGTTTCCCAAAGCCTTTCAAAGCCTTGTAATTTATTTGGTTTACTGAAATAATAATAAAGATTGAGGAGCAATTTTTAATACTAGAGATTTAATTTAGATGCATGCCGGCTTGCATGTGAAGTGCTGCCAGTGGTCTTGGCATGGTCAGTGCTGCCAAACCATTGTAGCATCTGGCACAGTTGACAGGTGACGCAAGGAGAGGTGCTGGTCAAGATCTGTTACAGGTTCTCTGTCCCTGTAGGACTAGAACACTGTGTACAAAACACCAAATTCAACACCACCATTCTCTCCCTTCTCAAAGAAGAGGAAACTGGGACCCTGAGGGAGTCACTTTCCCAGTGTTGTGTGTCAGAGCCGAGGACATAATTCCAGCCTCTGGCTTCCCAGAGCAGCAGGGGACAGAGCCTACATGCCTCTTAGTTGCTGCTGCTTGCTGAGACACCTCGGCACCTCTGGGACTGGACTGTTCTCTCCTGAGCTTGAGTGACACTAGCAGAAATGTCAGCTGAGCCTGCACTTGCCCTTTCAGCATTTGCAGTCTCATGTAAAGTAAACCAGACTTCTGCATGATGATAAATGTTACAGCTGAGAAAGCAGCTGAAGTAACCTCAGCATCGTGCTAGTTCAGAATTTAAACACATCTTGTGGGTTTCGAGGTGATCTGTTCTGTGAAGCCACTGTAGTATTTGGAGCATCAAACGTACCTGTGCAGCACCAAGGAAAACTCAGGCAGGATGTTCCTGTGGGTGCCTTTCAAAAACTTGTCTGTGTTCCACAAAAGTCTCAGAAGAAGGAATGCTTCTGGCATGATATTGAGTGGAATAGAATTTTTTACCATCTCTTGAGGGTTAGATACTCAAAACTAAGTGAGGGTATTAGCTGTGTTTTGTAGAAGTCAGGAGTTGCCTAAAGCTTGTCCCATAACCCTTTGTGAATTGTGTTCTTTTATTGATGTTCTGGGCAGGAACTAATGGGCTGCTTTAATTTAGATTAGCCAGAAGAAACTGAAGAAATATGAAAAGGAATATCATACCATGAGAGAGCAGCAAGCTCAACAGGAGGATCCTATAGAAAGATTTGAGGTAAGGCTTACTCCAGTCTGATTTAACACGCAGTACCTGCAGGAAGTTCCTGTTTGGACTCCTTTGAGCTGGTCTTGGTTTATGACCATTTGGGTACAACAGGGGAATCAGCTGAATGAGGTGAATCTCTGTGTATTGGCAATGTTAATTAGGATGGGGTTGTCGTGAGCTCAGCTTCATGATGAAAAAGGGAATAGTACGAGTTTATATTTGGGCTTATACAACTGTTTCACTTGAGCCCATTTCTAACACTTGGGTAGCATGTTGATAGCACCAAAAGCCAAGAACAGATGATAACTCTGCCTTTTATTGGTGATAATCCTGCCTTCGCTCCTCTCCCTAATTTCAAATGATGTATGTTACAGTAAGTATATAAATTATTAAATATTTTAT